CTCGGCGAGTGCATGAACAGACTCGGCGAGTCCAAGGCAATCTTCTTAAGATTGAAGATGAACTCGACGAGTTGTTCATACAACTCGGCGATTCAAGGACAGGACCTGTTCATCAGTTGAAGATGAACTCGACGAGTCGTTTATACAACTCGACGAGTCGGATGAAGATTCAGTAGATGTTAAATTATAAGGAAAACTCGTCGAGTCATCGCCTAACTCGACGAGTAGAGACGAGTATAAGGTCAAATAGAAGGATAGGGACTCGGCGAGTTGGCGAACCAACTCGGCGAGTCAGGTCAACTGGAAGTTGACTTTGACTTTGACTTTGACTTGGTCAGGGGTAAAATGGTCATTTTACCCTAAAAGCAGTTGGCAGTGTATGACTAATTGTTTTCTGGGAATTATAGCCGGAGGATTTCCGGAGCAGCAGCAGTAGCAGTCAGAGGATTTTCCCGCACAGATCAGCAGCTACTACGAGGTGAGTTACCTTCCAGTAGCGGTGGGTCTACGGCCACAATGCCGGCCCACCAGTAGGAGTTGTATGTTAGGTGATTGTCTTTGTGATATCATCTAGTTTTGCTACTACCTGATATGTTATATGCTGGCATGATATGTTATAAGTGATAGTAGTAGAGTTCGGTTGTAAGGACCGAAGGGTAGGTTAGACACCCCAGATATGTCTGACAGCATGTGATGATATGTTTATATGCTGGCATGCTATGTTATATGAGATAGTGGTAGTAGGAGGGGAATAGCCCCAAGTTCGGTTGTTAGGACCAACGGGTAGGTCAGCACCCCAGAATGGCTTGACATGGGTAGGTCAGCACCCCAGAATGGCTTGACATGGGTAGGTCAGCACCCCAGAATGGCTTGACACGGGTAGGTCGGCACCCCAGAATGGCCGTATCGGGTAGGTCGGGCACCCCAGAATTGCCCGGCAGTATGTATGCTATGTGTTTGTATGGTATGTGGTACAATGGGGGAACTCACTAAGCTTCGTGCTTACAGTTACAGTTTTGTTTTCAGGTACCTCTTCATCAAAGGGGAAGGAGCTGGCGCGGTAGCGGCACATCATACACGCACAATGTTTTCCGCACCATAAGTTATTCTGGGATTTTGTACTCTGACATTATGGTTGTTTTTATGTTTTGGTTTTCAGACACGAAATATGTTTATGAAATGATATGATCAAACGATGTTTATTCACAAATGTTTTCCAAAGTATTGATTTAAAAATGAAATTTTTGGACGTGAAATTTGGGATGTTACATCAAAACTTTGCTCATTATACAAGTTTAGTCCCTCCCCATAGGATCCTTTTCCAATCAAATCCTATATTTACCCATTAAACCCCAACATTAAAAATCCATTACAACTTAGGTACGAAATTTACCAATTTCACCCCTGCTTCCATAATTCCTCACAAATCCGATCCCAAGTTTACCAAACAGCCCCTTAGCCTCAAAATCTCTTCAAATGAAGTCCCCAGAAGTTACCATTTAGTCACTGCCTTCATAAATACTTACAAATTAAATCCGAACTTACATTTTACCCCCGAATAATCCAGCTTATGACATTTGGCTTCCCAAAACCAACACCTTGCTATATAATTATAAATTTTAGGGCTACGAGTCATTCATTAATTAATTTATTTGTTTATTTAAATAAACAGGCGTTACAATCGAGCTCAAAGCTTTACCCGAACATCTGGAGTATACATTTTTGGAAGAAGGAAAACAAAAACATCTCGCAAAACATGAAAAATAAAGCCTAGTGGAAGTACTCAAGAAAAGACAAATGGTCATAGCATGGAAGATTACCGACATCAAAGGAATTAGTCCTGCCTATTGTTCGCACAAAATCAACTTAAAACAAGGGGCTAAGCCAGTGGTGCAACGCCAAAGATGACTAAACCCGAACATGCAAGAAGTAGTGAAGAAAGAGGTGCTAAAACTTTTGGATGTTGGCATTATTTATTCGATATCGGATAGCCAATGGGTGAGTCTGGTGCACGTGGTACCCAAAAAAGGAGGAATGACAGTAGTCACCAACGAAGAGAACGAGCTCATTCCAACAAGAACGGTAACCGGTTGGCATGTTTGCATCGATTATCGTATGCTAAACGATGATGCATGCAAAGACCATTTTCCCTTACCTTTTATTGATCAAATGCTCGAAAGACTATCCGGTCATGTCTACTATTGTTTTTTAGATGGTTTTTCGTGATACTTCCAAATTCCTATCGATCCTTAAGACCAAGAAAAAACCACATTCACTTGACCAAGTGGAACTTTTGCATATATAAGAATGCCATTTGGATTATGCAACACACCAGCCACATTCCAAAGATGCATGATGGCCATCTTCCGCGACATGATTGAAAATTTTATGGAGGTTTTCATGGATGATTTCTCGGGTTTTGGTTCCTCCTTTGAAGATTGTTTGTCTAAACTTGATCTAATGCTTGCAGTTGTGAAAAGACCAACTTGGTCTTCAATTGGGAGATATGCCACTTTATGGTCAAATAAGGGATTGTATTGGGACACAAAGTCTCAAAATTGGGGATATAGGTGGACCGCGCAAAGTTAGATACTATAGCAAAGTTGCCACCTCCAACAAATGTAAAAGGGGTGAAAAGTTTTCTAGGCCATGTAGTATTTTACCGCTGATTCATCAAGGACTTCTCGAAAATCACAAGGCCATTGACCCAACTTCTCTTGAAGGATGCTACATTTGACTTATCTAAAGAATGCCTTGAAGCCTTTCAATTACTAATAGAGAAATTGACTAGTACCCCTATCATGATCGCCCCAAATTGGAATCTCCCTTTTGAGCTAATGTGTAATGCTAGTGACTATGCAGTTGGAGTTGTTTTGGGACAAAGGGTTGATAAGCATTTTCAGCCCATCTACTATGCAATAAAGGCTCTTAACCCCACCCAAGAGAATTATACTACTACAGAAAAGGAGCTTCTTTTTGTGGTTTATGCTTTTGGTAAATTCTGCCAATACTTAGTTTTATCTAAAACAATTATGTTTACTGACCATTCTGCCCTTAAGTATCTTTTTACTAAACATGATGCCAAACCAAGATTGATACGATGGGTATTGCTTTTACAATAATTTGACATTGAAATAAAAGATAAAAAGGGAATGGAAAACGTGGCGGCCGATCACTTGTCAAGATTAGAAAACCTGCACTTGGAAGAGTTGGAAGACAACAAGATTGGAGACGACTTTCCCGAAGAATATTTGATGGTGATCGTGGGAGATGTACCTTGCTATGCGGATATAGCCAACTTCTTTGCTAGTGATTACCTTCCCAAAAAATTGACTCGACAACAAAAGAAGAAACTACTTTCAGAAGTCAAGTACTACTTTTAGGATGATCCATACCTATTTAGAAGTTGTGTGGATTGAATTATAATAAGATGTGTGTACGGGAAAGAAAGTCTCGAGATATTGAAACATTTCCATAGCGGGCCCACCGTAGGACATCATGGAGCACAGAACACGGCAAAAAAAGGTATTTGATTCTTTATTGGCCGACAATTTTTAAAGATGCAACCCGATTTGTCAAAGAATATGATTCATGCCAAAGGACGGGAAACATTTCCTCCCGAAACGAGATGCCCCAAAATAGCATCCAAGTTTGTGAGATATTAGATATTTGGGGAATCGACTTTATGGGACCTTTTCCAATTTCAAGAGGAAATGAATATATATTAGTTGCGGTCGACTACGTATCTAAATGGGCAGAGGCACAAGCATTACCTACAAATGATGCTTAAGTAGTGATGCGTTTTCTTAAAAAGTTATTTTCAAGATTTGGTGTCCCAAAATCTCTTATTAGTCATCGGGGTACTCACTTTGCAAACGATCAGTTATCAAAGGTCTTACAAAAATATGGTGTACATCATATATTTTCAACACCATATCATCCTCAAACGAGTGGACAAACCGAAGTCACAAACCGGGCATTAAAAAGGATATTGGAAAGATCGGTTGGAGGAAATAAAAAAGAGTGGTCAGAAAAGCTTGACGATGCACTATAGTCATTTCGCACGACATTTAAAACACCTATTGGTACTACACCATATACGTTGGTATATGGAAAAAATCGCCACTTGCCGGTTGAAATTGAACATAAAGCGTTTTGGGCATTGAAAATTTGTAACTTTGAATTAGCTGAACTTCGTATCAACCGTTTTATGCAATTAAATGTTCTTAAAGAATTAAGAAATGAAGAATACACTAGCTCCTTGATCTACAAAGATAAAACAAAGAAATGGCATGATGTTAGGCTAAGAGGACACAAGGACTTTCACGAGGGGCAAAAAGTTCTACTTTTTAATTCAAGATTAAATCTTTTTCCCGGGAACCTACAAACTCGGTGGGATGGGCCATTTATTGTTAAACAAATTTTCCCACATGGAGCCATTGAGTTAATATCAAGATACGGAACTCCCTTCAAGGTTAATGGACATAGGGTAAAGCATTACGAAGAAGGCATGCCAAATGAAGAAAAAGAGGGGGAAATTCTGAAATTCGCACGAGCCGAATCGACGTGAAGCGGGAAGGAGTCCAGCTCATGACTCCTCAAAAAGAAGCGCTTGCAGGAGACAACTTGTGGTTTAGAGTTTGCATTTTCTTTTCTTTTCTTTTATTTTCTTTATTTTTGCTTTATTTTTGCTTTATTTTTGTTCTTTCACTCCTCTAAATTTTTATTTGGATTTCGATGTGGGGAATAGCATGGAATGAGTGTGGGGTGGACATTTTAATAAAAATTTGACCAAAGTGAAACTATTTTTCACACCACGACGTGGTACTTTTCACCACAACGTGGAGACTTTCTAGAAAACCAATTCGCGATTTTCAATGAAACAACACGACATGTTGTCGGTTTAACTTCAGTCAAAATTAAGGGTTTTTATTCTCACAGTCAAAAATTTTCTTACTTTTTCACTACCCACTTCGTCTCCTCGCCGTGTTGTTCTCCCCATGAAGAACCTTCACCGATTTCTTCACTTTTTTCAATTTCTTCTACCAACAAGGTAACATTGTTATGCTATTTTCTTAGTTATAATCGAGTATTCTGGTATTCATGTTGAGTATTTACTGATTTGAAACCGTATTTGGGGCTATTACTATAGTTACGGTTCCGATTTTTTGCAAATATCGGACTTGTTTTTCATGTTTAGACTTGGATTTTTGCTTCAACTTACTCGATGATATGCCCTAAACAAACCCTTGACTTGATTACAGTTGAATATGGCTTGATTTTGTTTCGAAATTGCACAGATTACTCGACCAATTCGTCGACCACGACGACTCGTCGTGGTCTTCGTCGTGGTCAGTAATTATTGAGTTTAATCTGTTTGTTTTTTATTTCTAAACTTGCATATTGTTTCTTAGTTTGTTGTTTTGGTTTCTTTTACAGGTTATGTCTAGCCGATCACGGAGGAACCAACCCGGAGGTCGACCCGACTTCCCTTGGTACACTTTCCCTCGTATCGTGAGTCTCGGGGTGCTTTCAAAATGGAACAGAAGGCTTGAGTGGATGAAACAACGGAAAGTTCATGCACCAGCTGTAGTTGATTAGCGGTGGATAGAGCAAGTTGGGTTGTTAGAAGGCATTGAATTATTTTTGGTTAAATCTTTTGATGGGGTGCAGGGAAGATTTATGTGTATGGCGTGGAGGAGGCTGTTCTAGATCCAAGAGATTGTCTATAAGGAATTGGTGATCGAGTTTTTAGCAACGGTTTCATTTAGAAGGAAAATTGGTGCGCTCGAGGACGGAAATCTTAAGTTTTGTCTAGGAGGAGAAAAGTGAGAGCTAAGCCTTGCCGAGTTCGCGATGAGGACGGAGATTTATCTCCCGTCCGAAGTGCATACGGAATCCTATATTGAGTTTATTACAGGTAGCATCCGAACCACTGACGGATTCAAAGATGATACCTATTGGCCGACCACTGCAAATGGCACATACAACAAGGGGACCACATAATAAAGCGAGATCCGGTCACCTCTTCATCGCCTCCTGCACAGGTTAATCACGAATACCATAAATCAAAGGCAGGAGGAGGGGGACAAGGGCCCAACGTTTGATGTGTTTTTCTTATGGTCCCTCATCACACCTGATATATATGTGGACATCCCGTTTCTTTTGGTAGAATGTCTATCATTCAGGGCGTGTAAGGATCGTCGCGGTTCTCCTTTATATGGCAGGATGTTGATCAACCAGATTGCACCGTCTTTTGGCATTCTTGACAAGCGTGAAGCCATTTTTTTTACAATCGAGCCTCAAAAAGCTTTTTCTCCTCTTCTGTGAAAACAGGCTAATATTGTGGTTAATAATGGGTTTGGTAAATTTTCCATTCCTAATGATACGCCCCGCAACCAACCCGGTCGAAGGGTACTACAGAGAGGTAGTGATGTCGGTGAAGATGAGCCTCAGTAATCCCGACCGAGGATGAGCTCTCGATGGATCTATACAATATGGCTTTGAGGAAATTCCAAGACAACTTGGCACGAGGTGTCAATTATACGAATATGAGTTTGGATTTCATCATGCAACAAATGCACTTCAATCAACCCGATGATTTTCCAGCTACATATCCGTTCGTTCCTAGTTGGGAAGAGTTGTGGCGAGAGCGACAGGGACGAGCTAGTGGAAGTGGAGGTGGTGGTCCTGATGATGATAAGGAATGAAATATTTCTATCCTTTTCTTGCAAGTGGTTTTAAGACATGTTTTTTTTATTTTGTTTTTTATTTTGGTTTGTTTGGTGTAGTTGTTTTGGATAATTATCTTTTTATTTGGTTGTTTAAATTTGTTTCCTAGTTTTATCACTTTTCTTTTCTTTAGATTCCCAGGAATTTTTGAGTCCAAGTGAAGGGTTGTCTTGGCAAGAGATTGATGAATTTTAGAGAAAGATTAGAGAAACTGCAACAGAAGCGAGAGTTGAGCATTTGGAGTGTTATTTTCATCAAATGAGTGAAGAGTCACATCACCGAAATGTTTATCTTTATTGGCACTAAAGTTTATTGAAGAATTCTGCTGCAGAAAGCATAAATTTTTTACATTTTATTCCCACCACGACATGGTACCCTACACCACGACGTGGTGTCGCAGTCAGAAAATGAAAAAATTATTCCACAAAGCCCACCACGATGTGTTCCTTTTTACCACGAGGTGGTGCCTTCTCGAGTCAGATTATTCGAGTCTAATCATATACATTCTGAAGTATAAGTGTCCAAGTCTTTGAGTCACGTTCTGTAGCGGTCAACCATTTCCGTTTCCACACTTTTGAGCAAGCTATCCTACACACATGCAACACGAGTCAAGATGCATCTTCTATCCCAGGGAGTCTGTTCATTTTTCTCCCTTTTTAATTTTATGTTTTGCATAGCATGTAATGAGGTCATTGCATGAATTAAGTGTGGGGTAGGGGGTATATTAATAACATTAGAGAAAAAAGCATTTGATTTTTCAAAATGTTGCGTTGCTAGTTTTCAAAATTTTGCATTCATATAGACTTGAAACAATAGTTTAATTTAGGAAAACCTAGCTAATTAAAATTCCTGCTAGTATTGGATGGGATGATCCGATGAGAGCCCAAATGTTTACCCGAGCCAACACATGTTATAGTGTATTTGTGGCTTCCCATTTCCTAGTGAAAAGTCATGAGGTATGAAAGGTAATCTCGTAGCTTATATGATGTAACAAGCTCTGCAGCTTATACCTGAAATCCATCCAGGAGAGCTTATTTAGTCATTGTAGTTAGACTAATGCCTCTAACGAATAAAGGTTGACGTTAAGCTCCTTGCCTAAGCATGTAGGACTTTGAGTGAAAAAAAAAGTGAGCTATTAAGAAAAAAAAAGAGAAAAATTACCAAAAAGTTGTAAGAATTTTGGAGCTGTCAAAGTATGAAATCCAAAGATCAAAATTTCTAAAGAAATTATAAAATTTGAAGATACCAAAGATCAAACAAAAAGGTGGTGAACTCAAAGAATTGAAAGACAAACATCAAAGAATAGATGAATTCCAAAGAGCTCCATTGTGGTATCAAGTTGTAATTCTTTCTAGAGTTTATTTATGATTGGTAGTTTAACCAAAAATACATTGAGGTTAAGAAAGATTTATGGGGATGGATTCGGAGGGTTGCAAAAATGAGTGTCGTATAAGCTAAGGGGTGAAGGTTCATATGGATTTTGAGTATTTAGGAATGGGATATTTTTAGGAATTAAAGACACAAATACATGCATTTCGGTCTTGGGATAATGGCTAGGTTTGAAATGGATTGTTCTATGCGATATTGGTGAGACAATAAAAAAATCAATTTGCTTGGGGGCAAGCAAATAATAAGTTTGGGGTATTTTGATATGTGCATATCTATACATATAATTGTACATCATATCTTAATATTTTTAATTACTTTTATGCCCTTTATAGAACAAAAGGTACTTAATTTGTTATGTATTTTGTTGTAGGGGTAAAAGATATGCTTGGAGCAGAAAGGAAGTTGGAAGCTGGAAGCTAAGGAATTTGAATGAAGACTATTAATGAAGAAAAATACACTCAACACATTGTGGTGACATCCCCATGACGTGGTGTCTTGATTTCCCGATTGACTTCGAAGACTTGTTGAATACAGGATAACTATGAAGACCACGTCGTGGTGGCCTTACCACGTCGTGGTGGTCCGTTTTTCAGGAAACTATAAATAGATGTCATTATTCTCCAAATTGGGAACTTTTGTTGGGAGTTATTAACGATTCTTGAAGGCCAAGGATCGGAATTGAAGCTTGGAAGTGAAGAAATCGATTGTAGCTTGGGAATTGAGAGCATTAAGGCAATAAACTCTTAATTACGATTTTCTATTCTAGTTTAATCATGTCTTTGCGTATGAAATTTGTTTTTCTGACTTTAGTTGCTGAAATCATGGGCTAAAACCCTATGACTTTCGTTTGGTGTAGATTTACTTGACTATCTATGGTTTGATTTATGGTAGGATTAAGTTTTTATTGGTTATTCGTTAATTTAGCTTATTAAAGAACCTTCTATGATTATGATAACTGCTTTACCTATTTATTGCTGAGTTTAATTATATTTGTATGACTATCTTTCTTAATTGAACTTGAATCTTATGATCTTTGTGGATTGCAAAAATTGTAGGACTAGAGTTTTGAACTAAAACCTAGGGTTAGATAGAAAAGTGGGTAAATAATTGTAGGAGCTAATATATGATGACCAATCATATATTGAATTGAATCAATTAACCAATTTGATCAATCTATTATAAATCTAATTTAACTCGAACTGAACACTAGTGAGCTTTTTAGTTTATCCGCTTGATCACCATATGAATGAACTTGTTTGCTAAAGGATTAAGTTAGTGAACATTAACTTGGTCATCTTAGGAATCCATAACCAATTGAACATTAATCCATTGCACTTCCATAAATCAACCATAATAGCAAGCAAATTGAAGCTAAACAAAAGTCTCTAAAATACCTTGGTTTAAATCGTTTCTTTTTGTTTCCTGCTTTAGTTTGATAATTGTGTTACTTAATTGTTAGTTTAGCGTAGTTAATTAAGTTTCTAGTCTTATAAAACTAGAGAAAAAACATTTTTCTAAATTTCTTAGTAATTTAGTTAATAGTAGGTAAAAATTAGTTAATAATATTGTTCCCTGTGTTTGATACTTGTCTATTGTGATATACTATTTACAACAAGGTACACTGCCTTAGGTAGAAAGTAGTTACATTAGTAGGATAAAACTAGTGCGTAATTATTTTTCACATCACCCACCTCTCCAATGCCACCACTACCCCCTCATCAGCCACATATCATATCCGCTGGTGATGGTTCCCACCTGCTTCGCAAGATCAAGCTACCGATTTGACACAAGCATTTAATACCATGTCGATTTCCGGTCCACCCGACAACGCGAGGTATATGGACTCGGGGTCCACTTCTCACCTTGCCTTGGACTCAGGTATTCTCAATTCTCTTAGAAATACAAGCATTTTTAATTCGGTTCTTATTGGCAATGGTTCCAAAATACATGCTACCTACACCAATCGTAAGACTCTCTATTCTCACCACCGAGCCTTACACCTTCACCATGTTCTCGTTACTCTAATCATTATTAAAAAATATTATATATTATCATAAATTCACCACTGACAATAATGTTTCCATTGAATTTTATATTTGTGGTTTTTGTGTGAAGGATCTCATCACAAAACAGATTATTCTTAGATCAGATAACTCTGGTGACTTGTAGCCTTGGTCATCCAAGTCTTCCACTCGTATGGATCTCCTTTCATGCAGTCCTTTTTTATGGCATCAACACCTCGGTCATCCTGACCCTTGTGTGCTCCAATCTTTAATTTCCAATAAATTTTTATCTTGTAATAAAACAGTAGTATTGTTTCATGAGATTCATGTCATCTTAGTAACCATGTTAGATTACCTTTTTCGTCTTTCACTACAACTTTTGCTATTGTTCATTTGAATTTGTGGACTTCGCCAATTACGAGTGTTAGTGGGATTAAATATTATGTCTTATTTTTTGGATTATTACTCTTATTTTTA